CTACCGTGATCATGGCCCTGAAATTTCCGACCCTATTGTAAGGCATCAAAAACTACGTAGGGACCCGAGGTTAATTTCTCGAACCGACCAGTTTCAAAAATTACCGTTGTCTGGAACCGATTGGTAGTGATTGTTTGATCCCGGGTCTTTACGTAGTTTTTTATGAGGAATTCGAATCCGCCAAGAAAAAATAATTCAAAAACGTTTTCGGCTCTGAAAAGCGTTCCAAAGACAAAATTTTCAAATGAGCCTGATGACGTCATAATGACGTCATTTGGGAGACCGATGACTAGGTTCGTGAGGACTAGGTTCGTGTGACTAGGTTCGTGGGTGCCATGTTGGAAAAAATGGTTCGTGTGACTAGGTTCGTGAAATTTGGATTTTTATATGTATTTTTTGTATCTTCTCCATTTTGGGGCAGTAAGGGAAATGGGTTGATGACTAGGTTCGTGTGACTAGGTTCGTGAAATTTTATATAGAAAAAATTTTGGGGCAGTAAGGGAAACGGGTTGATGACTAGGTTCGTGAAATTTTTAATAGAAAAATTTTGGGGCAGTAAGGGAAACGAATTGATGACTAGGTTCGTGTGACTAGGTTCGTGAAGACTAGGTTCGTGGAGACTAGGTTCGTGTGACTAGGTTCGTGAAGACTAGGTTCGTGATGACTAGGTTCGTGTGACTAGGTTCGTGGAATTTGGATTTTTATATGTATTTTTTGTATTTTCAGCATTTTCGGGCAGTAAGGGAAATGGGTTGATGACTAGGTTCGTGTGACTAGGTTCGTGAAATTTTAAATATAAAAAATTTTGGGGCAGTAAGGGAAACGGGTTTATGACTAGGTTCGTGATGACTAGGTTCGTAAGACTAGGTTCGTGAAGACTAGGTTCGTGGGACTAGGTTCGTGAAGACTAGGTTCGTGATGACTAGGTTCGTGTGACTAATTCGTGAAATTTGGATTTTAATAGAGTACAAATTTTAATTATTACAGAAACTCATTTGTTTAAGGAACAACGAGAGAGACGAATGATTCTTACTTGATTCGAATTTATTGAATAAAGATTATTATAGAACTTAATTTTATTTACTTTTAGAATGTTATGCTGCGTGTTAAGCCTAGCGGCTCATACGGGGGTTGGGGTGGGCTACTCATTTGGCAAATATAGTCCCACATTTTCTCTATTTTAAATTTCACGAACCTAGTCACACGAACCTAGTCATCAAGCCATTTCCTTTACTGCCCCAAAATTTTTTCTATATAAAATTTCACGAACCTAGTCATCAAGCCATTTCCTTTACTGCCCCAAAATTTTTTCTATATAGAATTTCACGAACCTAGTCACACGAACCTAGTCATCAAGCCATTTCCTTTACTGCCCCAAAATTTTTTCTATATAAAATTTCACGAACCTAGTCATCAAGCCATTTCCTTTACTGCCCCAAAATTTTTTCTATATAGAATTTCACGAACCTAGTCACACGAACCTAGTCATCAAGCCATTTCCTTTACTGCCCCAAAATTTTTTCTATATAAAATTTCACGAACCTAGTCATCAAGCCATTTCCTTTACTGCCCCAAAATTTTTTCTATATAGAATTTCACGAACCTAGTCACACGAACCTAGTCATCAAGCCATTTCCTTTACTGCCCCAAAAATTTTTCTATTTAAAATTTCACGAACCTAGTCACACGAACCTAGTCATCAACCCATTTCCCTTACTGCCCCAAAATATAGGCCCATTTCAATACTCTGGCAGAACCCACCACGAACCTAGTCACACGAACCTAGTCCTCACGAACCTAGTCGTCATTCCCTCATTTGAGACCGATGACTAGGTTCGTGAGGACTAGGTTCGTGTGACTAGGTTCGTGGGTGCCATGTTGGAAAAAATGGTTCGTGTGACTAGGTTCGTGAAATTTGGATTTTTATATGTATTTTTTGTATCTTCTCCATTTTGGGGCAGTAAGGGAAATGGGTTGATGACTAGGTTCGTGTGACTAGGTTCGTGAAATTTTATATAGAAAAAATTTTGGGGCAGTAAGGGAAACGGGTTGATGACTAGGTTCGTGAAATTTTTAATAGAAAAATTTTGGGGCAGTAAGGGAAACGAATTGATGACTAGGTTCGTGTGACTAGGTTCGTGAAGACTAGGTTCGTGGAGACTAGGTTCGTGTGACTAGGTTCGTGAAGACTAGGTTCGTGATGACTAGGTTCGTGTGACTAGGTTCGTGGAATTTGGATTTTTATATGTATTTTTGTATTTTCAGCATTTTCGGGCAGTAAGGGAAATGGGTTGATGACTAGGTTCGTGTGACTAGGTTCGTGAAATTTTAAATATAAAAAATTTTGGGGCAGTAAGGGAAACGGGTTTATGACTAGGTTCGTGATGACTAGGTTCGTAAGACTAGGTTCGTGAAGACTAGGTTCGTGGGACTAGGTTCGTGAAGACTAGGTTCGTGATGACTAGGTTCGTGTGACTAATTCGTGAAATTTGGATTTTAATAGAGTACAAATTTTAATTATTACAGAAACTCATTTGTTTAAGGAACAACGAGAGAGACGAATGATTCTTACTTGATTCGAATTTATTGAATAAAGATTATTATAGAACTTAATTTTATTTACTTTTAGAATGTTATGCTGCGTGTTAAGCCTAGCGGCTCATACGGGGGGGGGGGGGTTGGGGGTGGGCTACTCATTTGGCAAATATAGTCCCACATTTTCTCTATTTTAAATTTCACGAACCTAGTCACACGAACCTAGTCATCAAGCCATTTCCTTTACTGCCCCAAAATTTTTCTATATAAAATTTCACGAACCTAGTCATCAAGCCATTTCCTTTACTGCCCCAAAATTTTTCTATATAGAATTTCACGAACCTAGTCACACGAACCTAGTCATCAAGCCATTTCCTTTACTGCCCCAAAATTTTTCTATATAAAATTTCACGAACCTAGTCATCAAGCCATTTCCTTTACTGCCCCAACAATTTTTTCTATATAGAATTTCACGAACCTAGTCACACGAACCTAGTCATCAAGCCATTTCCTTTACTGCCCCAAAAATTTTTCTATTTAAAATTTCACGAACCTAGTCACACGAACCTAGTCATCAACCCATTTCCCTTACTGCCCCAAAATATAGGCCCATTTCAATACTCTGGCAGAACCCACCACGAACCTAGTCACACGAACCTAGTCCTCACGAACCTAGTCGTCATTCCCTCATTTGGCCCTAGAATTTGGTCAACTTGGCTAAATTTTTAAGGGCTTTAAGGATTTACGGTAAATTATATACCATAATCTCAGAAAAAAAAATATTCGGCCAAAAAATTCTTATGGTTATTCATCTTTTGTTGATTTCTACGCCTTGTTTTGGAAAATTATAGAAAGGAATTTTCATTGCAGCTGATCAGTTTCACCCTTCCGACTCGGAAGTTCCGAGACTTTGCATGCTGTCGCTTTGTTTCCAACTCTACCTACAGAGACCAACTTCAGCTATGTCTTTCCTTCAGGATAGTCGATTTGGGAGACACTGAATTGTGCCGCCCTGCGCCGCCCTGTGCCGCCCAGCCTCACCGGGTTTGAAGATATTTGGTCTTTCAAAGGCCACAATTTAAGCTTTTTATGTCAACTTAGTTATTCTCACTTATTTATGTAGTCAAAATGTTAAAATAAGTAGAACCTATAATTAAGGGTGGTACCTCAGGTACCCGATTTAGTGTCGCCCAATTTAGTGTCATTTTTTTCAAAAACCGGGAACCCGCAAATTCTAATTTAGTGTCGCTTTTTCGAACAACACTGTTTGTGCCACCTTATTTCGCTAGAATTGCAATTTTTTAAATTTTAAAAACCCAAAACAGCATGTTCTATAAACTCCTCTCTATAAGTATTATGAGTCACTTCAAAATTCATTTTGATAAGCAAAAACGACTATTTTGCGAAGTTTCTACCAAATAAATTTAAGAGGCGCTTTATTCTGAGTTATAAGGCTCAAAATTGGTGCCAGTAACCAGAAACATATCTAAAGATACTAGAAAAAATATGGAGTAATTACAAATTCGAATTTCATATCGGCAACCATTCGATTCCAATTTAGTGTCGTTTTTTTCGGAATTTCAGGACCAAAAAAGCGACACTAAATCAGGTACCCGAGGTAGTAGCGTAGTTCTCAATCAAATTATGATCTTGCATAAAATCACTGATTTATTGAGCACGTGACGTGCCAAAGGCCCTTACGCGTGCATTTTCTGGTAGAGAACTCATTGGGTTGGCGGGGCCCAACTCTCGCTCTTGTTCAGAACTCTTTCCTAGGTCATGGTTTGGTCGAATGAGAGTCGATTGGTCCCGGACCGAGCGGCACAGGGCGGCGCAGGGCGGCACAATTCAGTACCCCCCGTCGATTTGTGTCATGTTCTGAGTTATATAAAATTGAACACTCCAGCTGTTATAAGTAATTGGGTATTGAAACATTTGATGCATTTTTTGGTCATCTGTTTTGTAGATTTCTGTCGAGGTAAAATCGATTTTGACATTGACAGTTTTTCTCCTCGCTGCTATTGCTTTCAGAAAAAGATACACATCTGATTCTGTGTTTGGATCTCGCATTTTCTCGATTTAAATTTTGAAACGAATTTAAAAAAAATTGAGTCGACCGATCAAGGAAGCAATCACGGAAACTTTCCCTTTATAATCATTATTATTATTACTTACGTTGTACCAGATAAAGCAATGGTGATAAAATTCTGTTTCACGGCTTGCCCTTTTATCTAAGATGGCCTCTTTGACTTTTCTATTTGCAAAAAGACTTTTAAAAGGAAAAATTTGGTCATAAAATAGACCTGAATCATCATTCTAGATCCGCCCCTAAAAAAAGCTTGCTTTCTCGTCTATGATTTCAGATTGCTTAAAGTCACTGTTTGCATTTGAAAGAATTGAGTAAATTTACCATCATCGACACCATTTTCGCTTAGAAAAGAGACAAATATTTTTTGAAAGAGAAAATGCGAAATTTTGCGAAACAGGCGGCTTCAACTTTTCATCTGCGGTAATCGAAATATTAAAAAGAAAGCGTTTGAATCATTTCAGACCTGGCGAAGTTTTCTGTAATAAAGAGGAAACAGACTTTGACAAAGTAGCTCTCTCAATCTCCTCCCGTCTTCCTCCCCAAAACTCTCCCCCAAAACTCGTCGGGGAAGGATTCGACACCCTTTGCTACAAATTTGGCGATAGAGCGATAAAAATTCTCAAAGCCGGAAAATATGACGAGCGCTCTTATAAAATTCGAAAGGCAGTTCTCGAGGATCAGCTTGGTCGAAGACTTTATGAATATTCGAATAGAAATTTTTATCCTGAAGGAAAATGCTTTGTGCCGGTCGAAATCGAGAATTTTCTAGAGGGAGAATCAGTCCCAAAAGGGGTTCATACAAAAGAACGGCTCGACAAAATCGCAAGGTAAACTCCAGATAACAAAGTGACACCCTTATTTTCTTCAAAATTCAGGCAAATGGCCCTCATCCACCAGTCAACCCCCGTAGAACTCGATAAATCCCGCTGGGAAGCTCTCTCAAAAATCACTGGAACCAACATCAATTGCCCCTATTTCCGGGCTCATCTTGAACACCCCGACTTCAACCCCTCCTGGCAATTTCTAGAGAAAACTGTGAACATCCAAAAAGAAGAAACGATCGAAAAATTGCTGAAAATTCTTGAAGATGTGGACCAAAATGACATTTGCTTCTGCCATAATGACATTTGGGGCGATAATTTGATTCAAAAAGGGGATGAGCTGTATGTTATTGACTTTGGAGATGCCGATTGGGGATTCCGAGCTTGGGATCTTTGCTATTTTCTTCTTCATAATCAGTCTTTGGGTAAAATACAGCTCTTTTCTATTTGAAACAATTGAGAATTAAGATGAACCGGAAGAAAGTAATTATTTCTTACGCAAGTACTCATCCTACATCAACACATCCGATCCAATCGCTTTCTTCGATCAGATACGTGCTCAAGTAAATGTATTTGCTCCTTATCTTCTCATAGGTAATCAAACATCTTCATCAATAATCTTAATAACGCCTTTCAGAGCAAATTCTCTTTTGTTACATTTACCATCACGAGGATCGAGGCTGAAAATAAAGAAAATGTGCGATCCCGAACCCGAACCCTAACTAAATACAGTTAATTATGGAATTTCTGGACATTTTTTGTCGCACACTTTTCACAAAAATGTCCAGAAATTTGATACATAACCTTGAGAAAAATATCCCACCACAATTGCTTAAAATTTTTCACGGAGGAAAAATAAACGTTTTTTTTTCAAAAAATTGATTAAAAACAATAATAAAGTGCGATGAAGCAGCGAATTTTGCTTAAAATACTAAGATTCTACAAGAAAAAGTCTTCTTCGTAAATAGAATAACCTTTCATAACTCAAATTTGACTATAAATTTCGGAGTCGAAAATCTTTTTTGAGAAAAAATGTCCAGAAATTTGATTCTTTTGCTTTTTAAAAGTGTCCCAATTAAACCCCTTAAAATTCGAAAAATGTCCAGAAATTTGATGTCCAGAAATTCCATAAAAAACTACCTGAAGGTGGTAGATATCAGAAATCGCCATTGCAGCTTTTTCTCCAAAATTTAACATAATGACACCCTTATTTTTCTCCGGAAACTTAAAATTAAGAACTTTATCTTTTTCCGATCGAAACCAAAATTAAAATTTTCAAAATTTTTTTTCACAGAATTCATCATCAAAGATTTCAACTTTGCTTAAAGTCTCATTTTGACAACAATCGAAAGTGCCAAATTTGTATTTCGGCACCCTGAAATCTCAAGAAATCTAAATTTTACAAAGCAAATAAGTTATTAACTGAAATGAATTTTGAGCAGAAAAAATAAGGGGGTTACTATGGTAAAAAAATGGAAAAAAAGACTGCAAGGAAAGTCAATTCTTGATATCTACCCCCTTAACCGTAACCCTGGCTCAATCTCAAACCCTAACCCAAAGAAAAGACCTTTCGGGCCCCGAACCCTTGCTCTTATCAGCCTCGCAAAAAAGACCAGTAAGAAAGACATCGAAAACTGGATCAGCCTGCTGCGAAAAATAAATTTCCTGCAATAAAAGAACCAAAAATAACGCGAAAATCACGATAAGCATTTCCGCCCGTCACGCTTAAAAATCGACTTCCTGGTGTAGTGAAAAAAAAATCGCGGCTTGGCGGTGGCGTTGGCGGTGTTTCATTCCACCAAGTCACTTGCCGAGAGTCTCAGTGATTAGCCGAAAAAATCAGAGTCGAAAAGTTCACGGCCAGGGCGATAATAGCCCAGAACTGATAAGATAATAACTCTCCTGTCTCGTTAACACGACGCTCATTATTTTAAACTCCTCTTTTTTGGCCGACAAGGACAATGGTTTTCGAAGAAAAGAGGAAATTTATTAACCTGATTTTTGAGGTTAACAATTTTCGCCAAAAAAATTTCGAGTTTTTCTTTTATTTCGGCAGATTTGATTTTTTTTTCAAAACATCAGCGTGAAATTGTCTAAAAAGACGGTCGATGGAACTCGAAGAATCTAAAGAACGATCAATTCTATTTATTTATTTTCGGAGTTACCTGAATGAGAAAATTCTTGAAAAACTCGATAGTCATCTTTTCCGCTTTTTATTCTGAATCCTGGAATTTGCGAGATTCGTAGAAGGAAAAAGCAGATGGGATTTTTCTCAAGATTTCTCCGAAAATACATTCGAGAAATGAGAATACGAACATTTTTTCTATAAAAATTTTTATAAAACAAACTGAAAATGTTAATTTTTTAAGGACCCCCCCCCCCCATTTTCAATTTTGGAGCAGACAAAAAGATTTCGACAAATTTTGCGTGGAAATTTTTAACCAATCAGAAGCCTGGATTAGGCTTAGCGGCCAATCAGCAGCCGATTAGCCGCCTACGCAAAATTTGTCGAAATTTTTTTGTCGGTTTCAGACACCATGCATCCTTAAAGAATATGATTTGAAATTTTTTTCCACCCTCCTCCGTCATAAAAATCATTTATTATTGAATAAATCCGTGTAAAGGGGTCAATTCACTCGCCCTTTGGAGTTTGGCCTAAGAAGAATTCCTAGTAAGGCGAAGGGAATTCGTGCAAAGGTGTTGCGTTACGGTGGCGGCTTGAGTAACGTGAACGGAGCGTAATTTCAATTTGCGTCATTCTGCGAACGCGGCGGTGGTGGAGCACGCGTTTTTCGTTTACGCTGTTATGATAAGTACCCGCCACCAGCTCAGCTCCACCACACTCGCCAATTACCCCACCCGCTCGCGCGCTCTAAGAGAAAAAGAGAGCGAACTGCAAGAAGAGCGGGATGACTCGCTCTCTTTCGTGTTCACGAGCGAGTACTGTACTCTTAGTTAAACACTTTTAGACACGAGGGGCAAAGACGTGAAAAGAAGGGATCAACCTGTTGCGCGCCGAAAAATAGAAAGAAAAAAATATGGGGCTCTCAATTTTTGCTTCGAAAATCAAGAATTATCATGGGGACACCCTTATTTCATCTTTTCAAAGTCGGCTCAAAAATGAGACGAAGGTACTAACGCTTCATTTGAGTAGAAAATATTAAGGGTCTCACTTCCTTAAACCGACTTATTTTCGTCTCTCTTTTGTTCTATGAGAAAAAATTGTAAGATCGCCCAAATCAGCGCGCAACGAATAAGCCGGAAGGTTCAATTCGGCACGTCAACTGCTCGTCTCCTCAAAATTTAAGGACCTCGATGGCGACCCTGTATCGAAGAAATATTCGGCGATAAAGCGGTGCTCTGATTTATTGAATTTTATCTGATGGAGCGCGTTTTGTTTACTCCAAGCGTTTTTACGGCCAAACATGTGATTCAATTTTTGGCCAGAATGTTTTTCTTCAAGATCATCAAAAAAAAATGACATTTGTTTTTTGAGAAGTTAAAAAAAATTGTTAGAAAAATTTATTTTTATTAAATGAATAAATAATATGATTTTTTATTATCTAATTTAAATTTATTATTAAAAAAAAAATTATTCTTTTATATAGAATTATTTAATATTTTATCATAATTAAATTACTAAATTTATCAATTAAAATCGTATTTTAAAAATCCTTGTATTTTCATATTATGATTCTCTATTTCTTTATCTGTTTCATATTTATGTCGTCAAAACAAATCCTTTTTAAAAATATGATTCAGGTAAAAACTAAAAAAATCGCTAGTTTATATAACAAATTGGCGAAAAGAGAGGGGGCAGGGTTGGCGCGCGCGCATGAGTTCTGGAAAGTGCTTGGAAATTTCGATGAACAGGATCCTCTCGTGCTCACCGAGTCGCAGCCCCGGGCACTTGCACAAGTCAAGAAACAACGTGGGGCCAAAAGGTGCTCGCCGGAGATGCGGTTTTCGCGCGCAGGAAAACAATCATTAATTGAAAATTGAAAATAATGAATAATTGGCCATGACTTTTGGCGATTATCGTGAACGTGGCGCTGTTTAGCTGCGTTTCATAAAGAATAAATATGCACCTGTCGGGACAAAGATAGATTTGACATTTTCGAAAAATGGATCTTTGCAAATTGACGCGTTTAGTGTAAAAACTTTCGATTGCAATTTTCAAGCTCGTAGAATTTTTAAAAAATCGAGCTTTTCTGCATTTTTTCTGACCTAAGGGTACAACCTGCGATTTTCCCAACACCTAATGGAACTCGAAGGTAGTACCCTTAACGCCGGAACGCATAAAATTTTTTCAAGGTTGAACGCAGATCTACCAATTAATTGGTATGCACCTTTTACCCCTTTTTAACTATGAAACTGATAAGTCTACTGAATAAATGATAGAGATAAATAATTCTCAGACGCTAAGCTTCAATTTCATCCCCATATTATACCCATATCATAACATAAATATGACTAAATATGCCTATTTCCAAATGTGTCGAATGACGATGTAATGACAATTTATTGTTGAAAGAATAAACAAATATCCGAGTACAAAATTTCGTTCAATAGCTAAAATCAAAAATTTTCAAAAAAAAAATATTTTTTGACACCGGAATCAAATTCTTCGATAAAAAGTAGCTCCAAAAGTGGGGGTTCATTTTTTTCTAGCGTAAAGTAAAAGTTGATTTATGAGGCATTAAAGGGCCTTGTACCAATTAATTGGTCGCCCTGCGTTTCGGCGTTAACAACCTCTGTCCAAAACCTGACTCAGGGCCTGAGAAAAGCTTGTATTCAAGTATTAGACTGATATTGCCGAACCCTGCTTCTCAATCGAAGTTTACATAGTAACACCCTTATATTTTTTATCGAAAAAAAAATTAAATATATCCGAGTTAGATTTGTCGATTTTTCCTCGAGAAAAAGTACTTCACCTGCACTTTTTAAGCGTGAAATAGCTCTGCAGCCGCGAAATGCCAATCGTCTTTTGGCGCTTTCTGAAAGGACAAAACAGTAATTTCACAAATTGAGACTAACAAAAGTTCATCAAAGATAGTTTCTCTCTATCTCTTCTCTCTGGACTTTTATGATCAAATTATAAGTCTTATTTTGCGTCAAGTAAAACTTTGCATTGGTAAAATATATTGATCGTAGTTTGTTATGAGGGAAGATGGTAAAATTGATAATTTTTGTTTATTATCGTTGAAACGGGGTTTAATTACTTGATATTTTGGGGTAGCATTGCTCGTCTCGTAGACTCTGGAGCTCGTTTCGACATATCTTTATATGATGATTGATGATTCAAAAAAAATGAGCAGCTTATATTGCAAAAACAAGTCTCCATTTTGGCTGATTAAAATAAGGGTGTCATAATATTAAAGGGGTAGAACTAGATTTTTCGAGTATAAATAATTTTCGAGAGCAATTTTAAATAAGAAAATCTCTTTATTACTTATAATAAGGAAATTTCCTCATGGATGTTGCTAGAAAAAAGGGTTGAACTATTTTAAAATGGAATTTAAAAAATTTGCTAGTCACGTGACTCGAGAAATTTGAGGACGAAAATTAGCTAAAATCGCTATTTAAAAAAGCCTATTTTTGAAGAGATGGGTTGACGTTCCGCTTTCTTCCGCAAAAATCTATTGACGAAAAAATTTTTTAAGAGAAATGTCTACGCTTACTCTATCTTTAGCCGAAGAGAGAATTTGAATATCTAAGTTTGCCTGGCTTTGAGCGTCGGTCTAGAATTTGCTATTTTGGAAAAACCTAGTTCTACCCCCTTAATTCTTGTGTAAAAGCTTTTTCAAAGAAAAAAATTCGTTTTGTCTTTTTGAGAAATAAAATTAGGGGATCAGTATATAAATTAAAAAAAAAATACTTACTAACTAACATAATGATACCCCTTACCCTAACCCTGACCCTAACCCCCAAGAGTCTCTTTTCGCCCAAAAGAGTCACTTTGGTGAAGCCTAACCCTAACCCTAACCAACCGCAAACCCTATTTTTAGCAATAACTGCATTTGATCCAGATTTTTGGGTCTGTACCCAAAAAGGATGCAAATGATAAGCTCTGCTTGAATAATAGATATTTCTGCTCAAAGTGGAAATGGTTTTGGCCTGTAGCTTGAAAAATTCACAAGCGTCGAACGTTTTCGCCTTTTAAAAATTGAGAACTCCGGACGGGCTATCGTGGCCGGCCACGTGCTCTTGAATTATTGAAAACCGACGATAGTTGTGAGCTTTTCCAAAAAAGAAGGAAATCGCGGGTGAATATTAATCGCCAAGCAGGGATTTGGGAAGTTCCTCGTCAAAAATTTAGCTTTGACGCAATTAACACGGAACCAGCGAGGCCTACTCAAACCACTTTTCAAAACTAATTTCAATGACTCTCTTTCTTTCAATTTGCAAATCGGAAATCTGCGACTCTCTGAAAAGAAGAAGGAATAAAAAGGTTTGAGCGAAGATTCTAAATTCTGTTTGAGAATAAAGTTTTCTGTAAAAATTTATCATCTCGATAAAAACCATCAAATACAATTATTTATTGCAGGGTGGGGAAAGGTCTACGGCACGGCACGGCACGGCACTGCGGCACGGACACGGCACGGCACGTGCCGTGCCGTGCCGTTCCATTCAGTGAATTTCAGTTTGGACACGGCACGGTGCCGCGGCACTGGGGTTAGGGTTAGGCGAAGCCCCGTTCCTTGATTTTTAAATTTAAGGGGCTTGACGGCCCTTCGGGCCGTTTCAGCCCCGTTCCTTGATTTTTAAATTTAAGGGGCTTGACGGCCCTTCGGGCCGTTTCAGCCCCGTTCCTTGATTTTTAAATTTAAGGGGCTTGACAATGGCAGGGAACTCTGAGGTGATCAATTTCAGTTACTTCCCAAATCCCACCCACCCCCATTAACTGTTAAAATACAATTTATCCAGGTTTTAATTCAAATTATGGTTTTTATTCAGATTTCAAAAACAAATTCAAAATTTTTCGAAAATAATTTTTCACGAAATTTCTCGGTCGATACCTACGTTGCAGACGAATTGATTAAATAAAATTACATTCAAAAATTTTTGAGTGTTTTTTACGAGAAAAAAAGAAAAAAACTGTGCCATGCCGTGCTGTGCCGTGTCCCGGCACGCGTTCTTAAATTTTTTGCCGTGCCGTGCCGTGCCGTGCCACGGCACAGGAATTTTTGGTGTGCCGTGCCGTGCCGGTGCCGTTAAATTTTCTTAAGACATTCCCCACCCTGATTTATTGTTGAGATTGACTGCGTTAATATTGAATCATGAGAATCGTTTTCGAACGTTTTCGTTTATTTAAAACATCATCAGGAAAACTAAAAACTGTTACGACAGTAAAAAGAAAGAAAACTAACTTGGTGTGTGAAAAAGCTGGACAGATAGCTAACTGAATCAAAATTTTCAAAAGCAGAAAACAAGTGAAAAAGGAATACAAGCGAAAGTTAGTCGAGCGCAAAGGAGGCCAAAAAGCCTCCTGATGATGTTTTAAATAAACGAAAACGTTCGAAAACGATCCTCATGATTCGATATCAAATACAATTATTTTGTATTAAAAAAGATAAAACTCATTTTGTCAAAAAGACAATTCCAAAGAGTCAAGAATCTTGACGCAAGATAATTATTTTGATAAATGTCGATTACTTTAATTTGTGTCAGGGGACTCAAATTTCAAAGCTGGCTAAAAGCTTATAAAAAAAAGTAGTCGGTAAAAATGTTTTGACCGTAAATTTGGTCAAATTGAAGAGTCGAATTTGGAGAAGGTGTCAGACTCTGACTCAGAGACCGACAAAAAAATTTCAAAAAATTCTGCGTGGAAATTTTCTGCCAATCAGAAGCCTCGATTCAGCTCGCCGACCAATCAGCAGCCGAGAAGCCGCCCCCGCGAAATTCACCGAAATTTTTTTTTCGATTCTTGACAGCTCCCCAAAATTCGACAATAAAATTAGACCAAATTCCTAATCCTAATCGTTACCACCCCTAAAATTTCAGGATAAAGTTTTTAGGCCAATCAGGTTTCAGAAAACAACTATCCGAAAATTTTGATTTTTCATGCAGAATTTATATCGGTTCGCCTAACATCCCGAAAAAAGATTTCATGAGCCTAAAGATGAAATTTGATTAAATTTCTTCCAGCGAGTTGTTTATGTTGTTAATTCGATGAAAAGCGTCTTTGGTAGTTCCATTTTGCGCGAATTATTGCAAGGTGCTCTGGTGTCGAGGATTTAGCTCCAGGAAGTGTCCTGGCAATGGTGGTGGTGCAGTGTGGTAATTAACGTGTGTTTTGCGCGTCTAAGTTGAGCACCACACTGCACCAGACCGACGAGACCGGGGCCGAGTTGCGCGGCCTCACGTTGCCGCTCACCGTGTCAGCGCCGACTTCGTGGAACATTGCGTTGCCTAAACAGGCTCCGTTTAGAGTCGACAAATAGAACACCGATATTATGAGCGCCCCTTATCGCATTGGCAATAATTTTTTTCGCCGATAAAGCTCATTTTGGAACAAGAAATTTGATTTCTCCCTATTTTTTCGGATTTTTTAAGGGTTAACAAAGTGACACCCTAAATTTTTAACCACCTTTATTTTTCAAATTTTCTCAAAATGTTAAGTATTTTCCTAATATTAAGGGGGTGACCAGCATTAAATTCAGATTTCAGAACGATTTTTCTGAAGCTTCTAGCTTGGATATACCCTTATTTTTTCTGTACACGAAACAGATAAATTCTTGCCAAAAATTTCATAAAATAATTTTTCGATAGAATAAGGGTATCTCCATGATAATTGATCGAAAAATTACGGTCAATATTGAGCATCTTTTATGAATCAGATAAAAAGAAAATTCCCTCGATTTTGAGCAGTGTCAAAAACCCTTAAATTATTGCCCCCCAAATCGAGCTCATTGTTTAGTCTGGGGTTTACAGAAGAGTTGTTTCTTCATGGAACCGGGCTGCTGTAAATCAGAGGACTCGGTCTCGGCCGAGCGCGCGCTGACCTCTAAAGCGGCGGCCCTAGCGCGCATCGTCAAGCGCAAATTTTTCAGAATTGAGCTTCCAAAATCAAACACCAGAAACGCCTTTCGCCGAAAAATCAAGGTTCCATTGAGTGAAACTAACGCATCGCGGAACAAAAAGAAAAACAGCAAGACAAAATTTCTCTTTTTCTCAAAATTAAGGGTGCAAATAAGGGTGTCACCATGTTATCTCAAAAAAAATCTGCCAAAAAGAAGAAATTATTAAAAAAAACTTAAAAAGTTGGGTTTTGAAAATTTTTTTTTTAATTTTCAAAAAATTAAATCCTTTTTTATCTTTTATTCAAAAAAAGCAGCGGTTTTATGCAGGAAAATCTTGAATTTAAAAAAAAATGATTTTTGTCTATTTCTTTTGAAAAAAAGAGCTAAAAGTAGGGAGAGTTGAGCTTTTTTACGTCTAAAAAGCCCCTTACGGAAGCCCTTAATCGTAATATCACTTCGATAACAAGTGTTGAACTCATTTTCTAGTGCGTCAGGCGATTGCATAACGTGAGCTTATCAGAACGAGCTCAATGTGCTGGCAGCGACATGTTCATTTCGGGGAGGCTTCCGCGAAAGCGCGCGTTGCGCGAGCATGGAGCGGCGCCCTCACCTTAGCGCGCGCGCCCTCCCCAACCGAATGTTCTTCTTGTGACGAGCCCTGCGACAGTCAGATCCTCACTTTGCAAGAACCAGTGAACACACTTTGCAAATAGTCTTACATAACACTACCAATTTCAAAAGAACCAATTTTTCAAAAAAAACAGAGATTTAACGAAGACGACACCCTTAATTCTGAAAAAACAGCAGAATACGAAGAGAGACCCTTAAAAAACACAATGTGCAACGACGACCATAAAGAATATCTTCGACAGTACGAAGCTGCTCGGTAAGCATCAAATAAAAATTTTTAACCCCTCTGAACCGAGTGGTACAAAATGTGCCAATTCGCGAAAAACGCCGGGGTAAATTCGTGGAATTGCCCTTGGTACCTGGCCAAGGTCGGCCCTGCGCCAACCTTGGCCTCGCGCCAAGCACCACCAAAGATACCCTTAGGGCAACCCTTAGTTTTTCAACCCCTTTTCTCAAAAAATTTTTTCTAATTACGATTTTTAGACTTCAAATGGAGAGACGCTGCACTTCCGAAGAATCGGACGAAGGCCTCGGCCATTCTGGCTCCGATGGCGAATCCAACCGAACTGGTTCTCCGACCCATCCAAAATGCGAAAACTTGGAAGAAATCGAAAACATGAACCTCGATGGCGAAAATGTCGAGCTCGACGAAAACGGAAAGCGAAAAGAAGACCTTTACAAATGCCGATACTGCGACCGAACCTTCTGCTACCTCTGTCACCTTAAGGTAAATATCGAAGTGAGACCCTTAAGAAAATTTTTAATTTTAAATCAAAGAAAATGCTTTTGAACTTGAAGAAACTTGACTTTTTCCGCTTGAAAAAGCTCAAATTTCGCAACTTCGTCTAAGCAATTTTCCCTTGGTGGAGCGCGCTTTGGCGGTGGTGTGGTAACTCGGTGCGGTGCACCACGTTGCCCCGCACGTTGACAAATGTCAATTGATTAATTACGTTTTTACTACACCACGCGAGCACACAGCACCACCGCACCTTAGTAAAAACCCCGTCTAAAGAGACACTAAACCCTTTTCCGTAATAAACAGCCTCTGTTTAGGTGCACGAGAGAGTTCACACTGGCGAGAAACCCTACAAATGTACTTACTGCGATGTCACATTCAGTCAACTCGGCTCCTTGACTGTCCACATGAGGTAAGAAATCATCGAAATCAAGGAAGAAAACATTTTCCTTTTCCCTTTCCGCGACTCATTTATTAACCTGTTCTCTAGAATCCACACCGGCGAAAAACCCTACGAGTGCCGAATCTGCCTCAAAAAGTTCCGCCACATCAACTCACTCCGCCGCCACCAGCGTCAAGTGCACCGAAAGACCCCTGCCGAGGTGGACGCTTCTCCTCGCGGAGCTGACATGATCCCCACTCCTGGCCGTGGCTTCCCCGCTGCCTCCGGTGCCCCAGCCACTCCCTACCCCGCCTATCCACCAGCCAATCTGGCCAACAGAGCCGCATTGAAGTCCGTCCTCGAGATGCGACAAATGGCCGCTGCTCACCACAACCCAGCAATGAACAATCTCAACTACGTTCGCCAAATGCAGCTCCAGCAGCAATACCAGCTCCAAGCCCAGCAGCAACAGCAACAAGCCGCCTGGCAGCAACAGCTCATCCGCTCGATGAGCCAGCACAGCCTCGCTCAGCCAAAACCTGTTGTCAAGTCGACCAACCACAGCATCGCCAGCATGATCTCCGATGCGCCACAAACTAACAGTAAATATACAGAACAAATTCAGTCAACAAAAATTTATATAATAAAACTCCAAATTTTAAATATTTTCATCGAAAAAATTCTTAATTCTTTCTTTTCAGAGCCGAAGAAACACTCTTTCTCCATCTCCGCCTTGGTCGGCGAGGACAGCGAATCGGAAGACGACACCGTCCGAATCGACTGCCCCGAGGTCGATGAAGAAGTCGACGTCATCTCCGACGATCACATCTCCGAGGACGCCCATTCCTCCGACCCATCAGCCTCGCCCTGCCACAGCGCTGGAAACACCAGCGATGACAGCGGCGCCGCCTCCGGCCACAGCATCAACATCGTTGTCAACGACGAGGACTTGCGACGAGCGCTCACCGTCGACCCCGAAGCCTCTCCGAAGCCGAAAAGGCTCGACTTCGCCAAAAACTTGCTGATATTGCTCTGCGAAATATTTCTTCGGATTCTGGCTTCCAGCACGATATCTGCTGCTAAAAAGCTTTTATTTATGGTTGCCAAGTCCGGAAAACCTTGTTAAATCTAACTGTAAACTGCCCCTTATTAACTGTCAATTCCTGCCTGAAGCGAACTTCTAGAATCTATCCCCTTTCTGATGCGAAAAAGTACAAAAATTATGTGAATCGCTTTTCACCTTGTTCAAAATGGGCTATTTTGGACGGTTTTATCACTGTTAATATTTATTATTTTAAAAACTGTACAATTTTTTTATTTATGAAATAAAAGTTCAAAAAAATTTTATCTCGCTTTTCAATTTTGATAAAAAATCTTAGGCCGAATAATTGTTTATTTGAAATTTGAACTAGTAATATAGTCAGGATTTTTCAGCATTGTTATTGATGAACTCGTTTTCTTCGACGCATTCGGTCGAATTGAGCCCATTTTTCCTCGCCGAAGAGATCGTCATCCGAACTGCTTGCATAGTCGTAGTCAGAGTCTGAAAGAATTGTTAAAGTTTCTCTCTAGAAATAATTTTCACCTGAGATAGAGCTGTCCGGTTCTGGCTCTCCACTCTGGTTGAAGCTGATAACGCTATCATCGGAATCAGATGGCTCGTAGAAGGGAACTGCGCTGACAACTGACTTCCAGGTTGGCTGAGGTGCCCAGCTGGGGACTACTGGTGGTCGGTAAGTAGGCGCGAAAGTTGGTGCCGGATAGTTCGTGCCGTAGCTTGGGCATTGATCGTTGATGGGATTTCGAACTGGAGCGTATCCTCGGTCGGGTAGGCTGGGGCAGAAACCGGAGCTAGAATTGGAATGGAGGTCATTTTTTCAATACTTTTTTTAACCTTGAGTCCAACTGGCAGTTGCACTTGCAGACTTCATTGATAGCGCCTTGAAGAATTCCCTCGAGCTTCTTGACCAAAGGATCGTTGCAAGCATATCCATTTTGCTGGCAAGAGCGGAGCTTTGTCATGACAGTCTCTCGGAGCTTCCTGACGTACGCTCGGTAGTATTCCTCAGTTTCGATTCCTCGTCCGGGTCCACCAGAAGGTCCTTGAGCACCTCGTGGTCCTGGAGGTCCACGTGGACCGGGTGGTCCTCGTTGTCCGCCGATTCCGGGAAGGCCAGCATCACCAGGCTCGCCAGAAGCGCCAGCTTGTCCACGGTCACCTTGTTTTCCGGGATTTCCGGGGGCGCCAGGGCTTCCGGGTCGTCCAGGGAGGCCATTTTTGCCAGGAGCACCTTTGGTCATTTTTTTAGTAAAAGAACACAAGGGATTCTCTTACCAGCTTGTCCTTGAGGACCATTCGCGCCTGGAAGACCGACTGGTCCGGGCTGACCCTTGGGACCGGCAGGACCGCATTCGCCTTGAGCACCAATTCCACCAGGAGAGCCAGCTGCTCCTCGCGGACCATTTGGACCAGGAAGACCACGGGGGCCAGGGAGACCTCGGGGTCCGCAGCAGCCAGATTTCGAGCAGCACTCAGGTCGCTTGGTGCAAATGTTGGGGTCTTGGAAGTCGCAGGCGGCGACTTTGAGCCAGATGTCGCAATCGCATCGTCGGCTTCCGCAGTTTTCGATCTTGTTGTTGCTATAAAAAGGGTTGAGTAAGCAATTCAGAAATCTTCTTTACCTAGAGTAATGGACAAGACAGTCGGCGATGGAGTCAGTGACAGCCTGGTTTTTGACGGAAGAATCTCGGTTGGAGGCTTGATCGTAGGCGGAGCACTTTGGTTGTCGTCCCTGGAATCGGGTGAAGAGGGAGGCGTCTCGGACTTCCATTCCGTTTTCGATCATGAGCTGAATCGTTGTTTGAAATTATAATGAGAAAAAGTGCTTACAGCTTGAATATCTCGGCATTTCTCGAAAGTGATTCCTCGTTGCCAGTTCTTCAAGACATCGACGACAGTTGGATTGTAGCAATCCTCAAATCTAGAAAAAAAAGTTAAAAAAATTTCTAGAGCAGTGTTTTACCTGTTGTCAGTGAGAATTCGTCGATTTTCAAAGGGATGCTTCGAATACGAGCAGGGAACTTGGTTGGGGCTCTGGACGAGAAGCTTGACATCTTGGTTTTTGCACTGGATTTCCATCAATTTGAACATGGAGATGACCTTGTTTCGCATGACGCAAACAGTCGGAGTCATACTGTGGCATGGAAGGGGCTGGAGGACATCTCGGCGAATGAACTCCTCGAGAGTTTTTGCATCTGAGCAGCTGACGATTTGTCTTTGGGAGCATTGTACGGTGTGTACGCATCTAGAAATGGAGGTCAAAACTGCCAGAAAGAAAGCTAACTTACGAAGGAGAAGACAAGTCCAAGCAGCACTTGTTTCTCTGCTCAGTCAAATAGTCAGAGCAAATATTTTCCAAGAAATCGCCGCCGGCAGTTCCTCGCCATTTCTTCAGAATTTCCACTTTTTTGGGGTCGATATAATCGTTGAACTTGCTGACTTCGCTTCGATCGGAAAGGGGTGTTTCGAACTCGGAGATGCAAATGCAATCCTCGCACTGCAAATGACCGTTGGTGATGTAGTAGACGAGTTTCTCCTCGCACTGGGCGAACTGGTCATCGTGCTGGTTTTGCGCGAATTGACGGTACTCCTCGAACATGTCGAAGGCCTTGTAGAAAGCAGGGATGAAATGGGCGTTGTTCATTGGCTGGATGTCGTCGACGGATCGGAGGACAACGTCGGAGATGACATCTTCGAAGTAGTTGATTCCATCGATGAGGGTGAGGTCGATCTTGATGTTGCGCTTGACACCGTATCGGATCAAACCGAGCTTGAGGGTTCCAGGAATGACGCCCGCATCGTGGACTTCATCGACGACGGTTCGGATGGTCTTGGCGATGGCACCGATTTCGTTTCGGATGTCGCAGCCGAGTTGGACGATGACGACGACGCAGGTCTGGAGGGGCAGGCAGCTGACTTCGTTGCACTTGCACCAGGAATTGACTGGAACTCCAAGGGCGGTGTTGGCATCGCAGTTGTAGGAAACTGGGTTTGGTCGAGGGCCGCGGACATCGGCTTCGTCGGCCTTTCAGAGGTCGAAATTTCTATTTCTATTTATCAATTTCTGAGAAAAAAAACTTTTAATTTCGGAAAAAGTCAAAATGAAAAATTTCAACCATTCCTGCAACTCATAGGACCATCCTCCAACACTGCTTCTCGGATTGCTGTTAACCCTCTTTCGTCTGTGAATCTTCGCGTCAGCGACGCTGAGCGCCAGCGCGAGCTGCAGCAACAATCTCATCTCGAACTGGAATGTGCTTTTTGGAGCAAAATAAAGCACCTTCTACCGGCAAAGGGTAATTATTAATTTGTTTGTTTGTGCTGCGTTTTTGCCAAGTCCAGATAAAGCTCCAAAGATGAAGTGAACAAACAGACCAAATCGTTTTTTTCCCGGCGACTGCGGCGCAAATAGAAGTTTTTCGCTATGTAAAGCATTATTTTTTGACAAGTTGGATTCTGGTCAAGGTCACTTTCTCTGTCTAGATTTGTCATAAAATGAAATATTTTTTAATTAAAAATTATTTATTGATATAATATTTTTTATCATATTATTATTTAAAATAAATAATAAAATATAATCTAAATATTATATAAATATAATAAAAAAAATATATAATATAATTACAAAATTAAAAAAAAAATATATTATCTAATACAAATATAATAATGATTTAAATATTTTAATATATTTCATTTTTTTATTTATTTAGTCGCCGAATCCTTATTGATATTTTCTAGACCATCAAAAGACCCTTCCTTCCTCAAATAAAATTTAATGCTAGCCTCCTAATCAACCGTAGTAAAATATAAAAAATGAAGAGCTGACTCTCCAAGCTGAGTGCTCGCCGCAAGATAAGCGCTCGTCACGGATAGAAATCGCCATATTTTTGAAAGTGAAAGAGAAAATGGAGGAAAAGCGGATCTTATGCGTTGGCTTAACTTGCCTGGATATAGTTACGGAAGTCGCTGGATTTCCAAAAGAAGATACGGACCAACGATCAGCCGGGATGAGCTGGCGAAGAGGCGGGAATGCCAGGTAAAAAATTGATCTAAATATCTGAAATAATTCATCTGATTTCATCTGACGATTTTATCGGACAGGAAGAATCTGATGAAGAAAAGCTGAGCCTTCAAATTTCGATCACTCAAAGTTTGTTTCCCCTGTGACAAATGATAGGCTCGCTATAAAAACCTTCTTTTAGCAATAACTGTACAACTCTTCGAAATCTCCAAAAATCCTGTGAATTCTTCGGCGCCATGAGTTCTTTAGGAAAATTTCAAAATCGAGCAAAAAATCTTCATCCAACTCGTTTTTTTGAAATCAAGGAAGACAACGACGTCGCATCAAAATTCGCGGAACAAGATCTTTCATCCCTCGAAATCGCGTTTGAAAACTGCGTTCGATTTCCCCACCCTCTTCCGAGCTCGATTATCCTGCTGAACAACGAAAATGGGACAAGAACGATTGTGCATCATCGGGGCGGAATGCCGGAAATAACAACTGAAGATTTCAAAAAACTCGATTTGACGAAGTACAAATGGATTCATTTTGAAGGACGGGCACGGGTTCGGGATAAAAAAACTATGGACATCATCGTTTTTTTCCTAGAAGAGACGTTTTTTCGACTCGATAATTTTTTAAACGTCTCTTTTAATATTTTTTATAGATGAATTGCCAAAATTACAAATAAGGAAAAAAGAACTCGAACCGAAAATAGACAAAATCAGGAGAAAGACCAGATGTTTCAGAAATGATCGCTCATGCTCTTCAAGAACGGAAGAAAAACCCCGCTCTTGATTTCAAAGTTTCTGTTGAGCTTGAAAAAACATACGAAGGAGTTGAAGGACTCGGGACAGAAGCTGATGTGGTCTTTGTCAGCAAAGAGTTTACCGGCAAATTTGGGTGCGAAAGTGGCGATGAAATGGTCAAGAAATTCAGGAAGAGGTCGAAATCGAGCACTTTGGCAAGAGAAATGGATGATTTTGGATCTTTTTTGAAGAGAGAAGATTGTAAAAGATGCGATGCTTATTTGTCCCTGGGGAGATAAGGGAGCGTTTGCCAGGTAAACAGACCTTCGGACCGACTTTCATTTTTGGCCCGCAAAAAAAAACTTGTTTCCGCCCGGGCTCGAACCGGGGACCTTTCGCGTGTTAGGCGAACGTGATAACCACTACACTACGGAAACTTGAAGTTGCTTTCATGAGTCGTTTATAAATCTGACCACAAATTCTAGTGATGCACATGGAACTTACTCCTCGCCAGTTTTTAGCCCGGAAAAGGTGGTGGATACGATCGGCGCTGGCGATTCTTTTGTTGGAGCTACGATTGGTAGGACCCATGATGGACATTTGGATAATGATTTTTAAGCGAAATTGAGCGAGGGAATGTCCTTGAAAGACACGATCGAGTTTTCCTGCAAATACGCCGGCGCCAAGTGCGGAATAATGGGACTCAAAGATGTTCCTTTTCCGAAATAATGTGTTTTCTGAATCAAATATAGACTATATTATATAGTCTGAATCGGTGATCTTTCCTGTTTGGAAGTATGCAATTAAAAATGGTACAGGACCAATTCTTCTTCAATTTGGCTAGAATTGGTATGATCACCCTAACCCTAAAGCCTCACTTCGCCCCCGCCCCGGCACCCCCAAAGACGGCACTTTCCGGCCCCCTTTCCCTAACCCCTAACCGAGAAAAGGTTTCGTATCATACCAATTCTAGCTTTATTATAGAAGAATTGGTCCTGTACGAATTCTAATTGCACTCTTTCTCCTGCTTCATTCTTTAGAAATCAAAAAATTAGAACAAATTCATGCAAAAAAATCACTTGATATTGGAAATTCGCTCAAATTAGAGCCCTCATCTTAGCTTGAGGAAAAACATGTTTCCGTCATCGCATTTCTCGAAATATATTTTAGTTGTCTTGTGAGAATGTTGTCGTAAAACATTTGCTCAATCGTTTATTACATCGGCTTTGCTTATTCATAACCTTTTTGGACACCAAACGACAATCGTGTTTTCTTGTTTTCAATAGAAGTTATATGATATAATCGAGTTTTAATTCGCATCGCCACCTAGAGGAAAGGTCAGGGAAAGCCGTTGATAAGGAAGGAGCTCTTGGTGCTCCTTTTTATTATCACACAGTTTGATTTAAAACTGCGAAATGAAGGTAAAGTCCAAGAGATAGAGATTTGTCCATAACCTGAATTGTCCTAAGTTTTTCTCCCTCGTTGCTGGCGCTGCTGCCTCCTCTTACGAGACGACTGAAGCATACACGATGTCGACAATGAACAGCGAGCCTTGGACCACCCCCGATCGAATAACCAACTGTGGTGGCACCATCAGAAGGCCAAAGACCTTCTCGTCCCCAGACTTCGCTTCTGGTAGCTACCAAAACTACCTGAGCTGCACCTGGGACATTTCCCTTCGCGGCGTTGCTGGCTTCTGGATCGTGCCAAAAACATTTGACATCGAGTCGATTGGCTTTTGGCACGACGGCCAAGGCTATGATCTCCCTGACCATGGTCCTAAGCCCAACTGCGCATTCGATCATGTCAAGGTGATCGCCAACGGCGTCGAGAGCAATTTCTGCGGAACCAATTTAGGTGTAGCATCAGAGGCTGGAAAAGGCACAAAGGAAGAAGGAGGAAAATGGACACCAGATCTTGTCAATGCCAGCGAAGACGGCTTCAAGAAAATGTTCGTCTTGGGTGGCGATGCCACTGTGAGCATGACAACCGACTTTACCAACGGAGTAGATCTCGACGGAAATTGGAATCGATTCGCCGGTTTCGAGTTCGAGCTCGTGGAAGCCGATCGACTTGATATTATTGAATATTACTTTGGGGTAAGAAAAACCAAAGAAACTGTCATTTATTTATAATCATAGAAAATCGCCGGCAATATCATAGACGAGAGAAAATTTAACCGATTTGTGAACCGATTCCATAAAATCCTCGCAAAGGCCCGATCTTCCGCGACTGGCGAAAACTGCTACGAAGAAAACGGCTTCGGAGCGAGTGACACTTCTGACGATGTTCAAGTTTTCCACGAGAGCAATACGTGCACTTTGAATTCTCAAGTGAACGCAGCGCTCAACAGCTGGGCTAGAAACAACGCCTGTGTCGGTCGAGGCAAGGTCTATCGCCAAATCATTCGAGCTGCGAGAAAGATCAGAAATTTCTACAACTCTGCAAACGACTGTTGAAATAAACAAAAAAATATTCAAAAATCAATTTTCAAAACCGCAAATTTTCTTCACTTCCTTTGGAGTCAAAATTGCAGAAATGACAGTTATCTTCGGACAAACACAAATAAATAATGATTGAAAATTAATCAACCCTCGCGGAAAGCATCGAGCTTCAGCCTTTTGAATAATTCAGCCGACAAGTGGTCGAGGATACGTGGTCACTTGTCGGAAGCCAAAAAGCTTCTTCAATCTTTTATCAACCAATTCGACATTGGGTGACATTGAACGACAACGCTTTCTAGAATAATTTTCTGATCTTCCATGATTTCATCAATTTTTATTTGCTTTGTCGTATTTGCCTTGCGGCTCATTATTTTTCTCGCGCAATTCAAATTTGCCGCAAATTTGATTGAAAAAAAACAGAGAAAAAATGGTGATGATATTGGATTTACGATCTGATACCTTTACGAAGCCGACGCCGGAGATGAGGAAACTCATGGCCGAAGCTGAAGTTGGCGACGATGTTTTTGGAGAAGATCCGACAGTGAATCTTTTGCAAGGTAAAAATTGAGGGCTTTGCTAATAGCTTTGTTTTGCGTCAAAAGATAACTGCTAATGATTTTCTCTTATTAACTGTCTATCAGATATTATGAGAATCTTCTCTTATTCGCCTGACTAACATGTTTATTGTCTACTGTTAGTAATAGACGATCGAGACAATTTTCCATGACAGGATTCAAAAAGGTCAATCAAAGCCCAGTTTATTGATCAGAGAGTAAACAAGGTCGCATCTTTCTCGGACACCTCATGATCCTTCAGGCTTCTCTGCGTCGTTGTCTCTCAAGGCGACAGTACCAGGGCGGTAGTCAGTGCTGTCTTTTAGAATCCAGTTGTACTGCTCTTCAGCTGCATTGATATTGTCAATTGAATCTCTATGCGCTCTTTCTTTCGCGTTATTCTGATCAGAAGGCGAGGAACGATGAAAATCCTCGCTATCAGCCATCGAAATGAAAAAAAATAAGATTAATTTTGATGATTTTTTTTTTCTCAGATGTTTTTGGCAGCGTTTCCTGTTTATTTTCTTTTGGAAAACATTGAGGATATGAATCAATAAAAAATATCATATCAAGCTTTACTTTTCAGAAACCGCTGCTCAAATGACCGGAAAAGAAAAGGGCCTGTATCTTGCTTCAACGACAATGAGCAATCTTTGCGGAATCCTCGGAACTTGCTGGGAGCGTGGCGCGGAAATCTTCATTGGCGACAAATCCCATATCGCGCTGTACGAGCAGGGAAATGTTTCGCAAATGGGAGGAGTCATGGTCAGGACAGTGCCGAATAACGATGATGGGAGCTTTGATCTTGGTTTGAACCAAAAAAAAAATTTTCGATTTTTAAAATTTTTGTTTAAGATTATCTTGAAACGCTGATCCATACCGTCGACGACCCTCATTTTCCACGAGCAAAGGCGATCGTCGTCGAAGTCACGCACAACATGATGGGTGGTTCTGTTCCGTCCCTCGAGTGGCTGTGCAAAGTTCGCGAGTTCGCAAACAAACACAAGCTCAGAGTTCATATGGACGGCGCCAGAGCTTTTAATGCTCTTCAACATCTGGGCATTGGGATCAAGGTAACCCCAATAAATGCCTTGGAACAAATTAAACTCGTTTTTCTTTTTCAGGAATTGTGCGCCTTTGCTGATAGCGTTTCCATCTGCACTTCAAAGGGCCTCGGTGCACCGGTCGGATCTCTTCTTGTTTCTGACGCAGCCACGATAAAGCGATGTCACCGAGTACGAAAAGCTCTTGGCGGAGGAATGCGCCAGGCGGGAATTATTGCAGCAGCATCGCTCTATGGACTCACAGAAATGTCGAAAAGAATTCATGAAGATACGGAGAACGCGAAAGCTTTGGCGAATGTCGTTTCGAAGGAAAAAGGGATGACTATTTCTCATTTCAATTTTCGGAAACCCGGGTCACCCTCTTTTTAAAGTTTGATTTTGTCGAAATCGATGTAAAAATGGTCCACTCAAATATCGTTCGATTCAAGCTCAAAGGTAACCTCCTCTTCGCGCCAGGATCTGAAAATAATAATATAAATATCGACAATGCTGAAAATGTCATCAATGTCACGAATGGCACGAATGTCACGAATATTACGAAAACATCCTTCTATTTTCGTGACATTTTCAGCAAAATCGTGACATTCGCGACATTCGCGATATTCGTGACGTTCGTGACATTTTCAGAACTGACCGAAAATATCTAGGTCATTCTCAGGAAGAATTCATCAAGCGATGCGGAGATGATAGTGAAGGAGTTCAAGTGAAGATTTTGATTGTTTCCGGAGGCTTCATTCGAGCTGTTTTCCACAATGATGCAAAAAGAGAAGCTGTTAAAATTGGCCTCGCAAAAGTTGAAAAGCTCCTTTCTGAAATGTCCAAAAAGCAATAAAAATTAAAATCACTGAAAGTCTGTCTTAATTTTTTTCTGAGAATCAGGTTTGCTTATTTGCAGAAAAAGAAAACTGGGTCTGATCATCAGACTCTGATGAGCCTGTAATTGTCCTTGGAAATGAAGCAATTGTCCAGAAGGCTTCTTATTCTTAGCATCAGGTGATTACGGCTCGCTGGGTTTAACCTCGCTCAAAAGAGTAACTGGCTATTCAGATTCTTGTCAAAGTCTGACTTTTTTTGAAAGCAAGAAGGAAAGAAGATTTATGGAGCTGAAAGATGGTGAGTAGGGGCGTTCTAATTTAACCCTTGGAGAAAACTTATGCTCATTAAAAGAAGGGATAAAAGGCTTTATTCTTTGCTTAATGACTTTTCCGAAAGTAAGTAACTTTTCTGAGCAGAGGTTAAGACGCGAAGGAGTGATCCTCCTTACGTCTGAAAAAATGACTTTTTATTGAACCGTCAGTCTTTATTTTAGCTAAAATAGTTCATCGCAGTCTTCGATACCCCAAAACTGACAAAGAGAATCTTTATCAAGCGTTTTCAGTTTATTTTTTAAAGCAAAAAGAGTGCGAAAATGTAAGTGAATCAGAATCAAGTTCTCATAATTCCCGTGTTCAAAAATATCTTTTATAATTTTTAAGCGATAGACATCATATTGACACCCTTATTTTATATCGGCATTTTCCGGGATTACACTCGAGTAAAAAAGGGGTTAGGCTGCTGATTGGCCGGTTAGCCCTATCAAGGCTTCTGATTGGTTGAAAATTTCCCTGCATAATTTTTCGAAATTTTCGGGACAATTTTGACAAAAAAATTCCGCAAAAATTTTAGACCAATAAGATTTCTGTATTTGGCTAGCATTTTTTCAACTTGATTATTTTGTTACTACTGTAGGTCAAGAAGCGATTGCGACAGCTTTTCTGTTTCAGTCCATTTTCAGCAGAATCATATTGTCACGTCGAATCGGCGTTGCATAATTGTATTCAGCTTTTGTGGTTTATCCTGCGCCGCTCACCAGTGGTCTAGGGCGCGTTATAAATCTTTGACAAGTTGTGGTGCCACTGAGCTGTCCGCTAATGTTGTAGCCGCTTGTTGAAAAAAGAAAAGTCTTTTTCGAAAGAAATCTTTCGTAATTTTTTTTTTTTGAGAAAGATGAACTTGATCGTTAATTATCGATAGAACAGTCGATTCGGAAATAACCGAGCCTGTATTGAATAAAAGAGACAGTTAGAGGCAGACAGCATTGACAAGAAATTGAAAAGATGTTACAGCATTATGACGGGGCTCTGCGTAAGTCGATACTGTCTTTTCCGAAATCTCGATTTTTTCTGTGGATTTTGCGCCTGGGTTTTTTGATTTGAATTTTTGACTTTTTACCAAGATATATCAAAATGAATATGTTTTTTTATGAAAGATGAATTACTATAAGAATTTTTCGGGCAAAAAAATTTTTTTTGAGATATTGGTATATTCTAAAAGCCCGTTAAAAGTTATACAGAATCACAAAATTCTAGGGTCAGATGACGACATTATGACGTCATCAGGCTGATTTGAAAATTTTGTCTTTGGAACGCTTTTTCGAGCCGAAAACGTTTTCTGATTTTATTTTTCTTGACGGATTCGGATTTTCCATGAAAAACGACGTAGGGACCCGGGATCAAACCATTGAATATCAACCATTACCGACCAGTTCAATTTTTGAAACCGGTCGGTTCGAAAAATAAACCTCGGGTCCCTACGTAGTTTTTCATGGCGAACAAAATGCCACCAATAGAAAAATCTATTCCAAGCAAAAACCGCCTCAAAAAGCGTTCCAAAGTTTCATGAACTTGGAGCCTTTTCGGACATTAATTCATCATAAATGACGTCATAATGACGTCATTGAGCCCTAGAAATTTAGGAATCGACTAATTTTGACTTGGGCTTTCAGAATATGTTCTTATCTCAAAAAAATGAATTTTTGGCCAAATCCGGGTGGTGTCATAAATCGACGAAAAAATCTCGACAAATTTTGAGTTTGGGGGATATGCGGCTGCTGATTGGCTAGTTGACCGAATCCAGGCTTCTGATTGGTTGATTTTCCACGCAAAATTCGTCGGAATTTTTCGTCGGTTCCTGACACCTCCCCCCTCCCCCCAAATTAAAACATCTTATGGTCTTTACATCCCCAAAAATATGGGTGTCTGGAACCAACCAAAAAATTTCGAGAAATTTTAGATTGAGATTTTTAACCAATCAGATGCCTGAATTCGGCTCATAGGCCAATCAGCAGCCGAGAAGCCACCCAGGCAAAATTTGTCGAATTTTTCTTTGTCGGTTGAGGGCACCAAAAATATTTGTCAAAATTCTCAAATTTTTAGATAAGACCAATAAAACGTTCATTTTTATCAGTTTTTTCATTTAAATTTTCATAAAAAAAGAAATTTCGATCTTGAATTTGTAAATATTCCATTTCTCCTTTTTTAAATATTCATCCTGCTTCTGAATTCGGTCGCGCATTTACAAATGATACAGTTACCTCCTTGCGCCTTTGAAAAAATAAGAAAACAGGAAAAATTAAAAACAGAGCGAAAAAAAGCAATTATGCTTATTAAATTGAACCCACTTTTGAGAAAGCAGCGAAAATTGAAATAATGAAGGTTGAAAGAAGGTTTCAAAAAAGAGAGTTTGCATTTTAAGAGTCCTTTCAAATGGCAAACCAGACTTCGCCCAGCTTTCTTTTCGGCATTTCCGCTGCAGGAACCGGATCGGCAATAAAAATTAACCGCTAAAAGAACGAGCTCTGTCGAGAGCGATCTGATTTCTCTCTTTGCTTCGTTTGATCCGGCTTAAAGTTATCCTGATCAGCTGGATTATAATGGGAAATACAATCACGATCCTTGGGCTAATATACAGTCGGCCAAAGCATGCAATATCCTTTGTTACGTCTGAGAAGCGAAAACGCATTACTTTCAATTATTTACTCAGGTACAAAATGAACAGATATTTATCGTTAAGTTCGATCTTTTAATTTGAAAAAAAGAATAATGACTCATAATTTATATATCATGATTCATGAATCGTAATTAATGAGTCATGAAAAAGGAAAAATTAAGGAGGTGGCATCGGGAACCGACAAAAAATTTCGATAAATTTTGCGTGGGCGGATTGTTGGCTGATGATTCGCCGGTTTATTCAGGCTTTTGATTGGTTAAAAATTTCAATGCTTAATTTGTCGAATTTTTTTGTCTGTTCCTAACACCTGCCAAAATTAAAAGTGTCTATTTTTATTTTTCGGTCGAACTTTTATTTTGACTCTCAAAAATAAGGGTTCAACCATCCTTTTGTTAATTTATCTTTGTTGGCGTCATTTGTCCTTCAAAAGCTTATTTTAAGCAATTCGGTTGCCGACATGTTAATTGGAGTGTTCATCACCCCGATTGCACTGTACCAGCATATTTGGGGCTGGCCGACGAACGTTCCATGTCACGGGCTCGCTCATCAGAGCTCATAACTGTTGCATTACTGTTCTTTTTCGAGGATGAGTAGAGCCCGAAATAAGTCTTTCCTGGGTTGGAACTGATGTGACATGTTGCACGGTTTCCTGCTTGTCGCTTATGGTCATTTCGCTTGGTAAGTACTGAAGTTCATCTGAGTTCTTACGGTTTCCCCTTTTTTTCTGGAAAGTACGCTGCGAACGGGTGAATAATTCAGCTCTTTTCAGACCGCTGGTTTATGTGCGTAAAGCCTATTCCGCCCTCATGGTACAACGACTCGTTCTCAGTATTGATCATAAGCTTCATGTGGCTCATCTCAATCGTTTTGGCCTTGGTGACGCTCAGTCCGATTTCGCTCATTTCTGTCGATATAAAAGGTAGATCCATTAATCTTTCAATCCCCTCCAGTCAAAAAGAGTACAGTTGACTCAATCAAACGAAAAACTGTATCTTTCCAAATAAAAAGAAACCCTCCGAAACGGCAGCAATAATTGAGCAACTGTAAAAAAACTAGATGGATATTTGATTTTGTCCAATTTTGCTTATGATTATTCAAAAAGGTCTCTTTTTAAAAAAGAGGTTGACATTTCCATTTGGAGTTCACTCATTTTGTAGCTGGTGTTTTTTGAATGAGGCTTTGTACTGACAACATTTTCTTAATGACTGCTGAAAATCTGTCAAGTTTAGGTTGTCAATTTTGACCTAGAAAATGAATAAAAAAGGCATGAATTTTTACTGAAATCTGATCGGCCTACTGGCCGAATGCGGATATCTGATTGGCTAGAAATTTTTATGAAAATCGGCTTAATTTTCTCACTAAAACAAAAAATGGAAGTAAATTTTTGGATTCGCCAATAAGATTGCTGTTTCTTGCCTTCCGGCCAATCAAAAGCCTGATTCGTAAAATCACTTCAATTTTTTATTTATCCCTTGTTTTCGCACCTAGCCGAATAAACGATACTTTATTAATAAAAACAGTGTTTTCAGAAGCAGAAAATAATGGAACAACCATGTGCATTGCATCATTCAACCCAATCATGACAATTTCCTCGACGGCCGTTTCATTCATTCTCCCTGGAATAATAATTATCTTGGCGAATGTTGGCATAGCAAAGACTGGACTGAGATTGAGAGAGAACACGATCAAAAGACAGCCGAAAGTCGAGGGCAAAGATGTTCGAAAAAGTGTCAGGAATGTTTCAAATCTCATCAGAATCGACTGAAAGCTGGTATTTTGAAACTAAATGAAGAAGAAGAGCAGAATACGCAAAATCTCGCGAAATAAAATTGACGATGACTTGCGTCAAACTTAGTCTCGCCTTTGTCGTCTGTTGGGTTCCCTTTGTTGTTCTAAGCCAGGTTTTTTAATAATCAAAATCAAGGAGGAGACTTTGACGTCTGACCTAAATATTAAAAATGCCGGAGATACTTATGACAAAAAACCTGGAATAAGTACTGTCAGATCAGTCTACCTAACGTCGGGGATCGAGATTGAGTCTGCCCTGTTCGACAAATGCTTCGGCTTCTCAATTTGGCTTGGCTGGCTGAATTCCGCTGTGAACCCGGTTATTTATTACACGAATCGAGAGGTACTTCCAACGAGAAATTAACCCCTAAGTCACGATCAAGGACATCTCCCTAAAGAAGCAGGGGTACTCAGAATGTATAGCCATATTAAAAATTCAGTGCTCCGATTTCTGATTTCATTCATTAAAATTAACACCCTATCAATATGAATCAAATGATATTAAGCACGCGATGAGACTGAAAAGAAAATTAATGCGCTGGCGAAAAGAAATACAAATGAGTCTAACTTGCTCAAGGTTATTTACTCCGTAAGTAAATTGCCTTAAAAATGAGTGTTCTATTCCGCCCTTTTCAATTTGCGGACATATTGCAATTTGCAATCGATGCTGATAATTCCTTCAGGCCAGGAGATAAGTCCGACTCAGTCATCGAAAACACCAGTCAAATGCCGACCTCAGTTGAAACATATAAAAACCCGACCGCCGAACTCAAGTTCTGAACCTTCAACCCGTTCAATCTGTACAAATGATGCCATATTTATTTCTCAGCACAAAGAACAAAATTCTTCATTCTGAATATTCATTTGATTAAACACGGAAAATCATCTTATTGATTATAATTTCAATTTCAAGGAGTCAATGTTTGATTATTTATTTTTATTCAAATCATGCAATTTAACAAGGATCACATTCAAATTTCATCTAAAATCAGAGTTACAAATTTCGCTTTATTTTTGCTGAGACGAGTCCGCCTTAGTAATAATTTCTTTGAGGTGAGCTGAGCTGAGCTGGTCTTTTTCAGAGATCATTGAGCGGAGCTGAGCCGAGAAGTTTTTTTTGTAGTTGAGCTAAGCTGAGCTGAGCAAACCCTAACTGGAGCTGAGCTGACCGAGCTCAGCTTAGCTGAGCTATATTTATTGTGGTTTAAGGACCCCCCCGTCAACAGTTTTCGAAAAATTGATTTTCGGAATTTTAAAATTTTGACCCCGGAAATGAATTCTACGGGTCAAAAAACGATTTTGAGGCTTCATTTTTTGGGGGTCTATCTCGACTCTAACACCCTCAAAATCGCGTTTGAAAATTGGACTTTTTGGCGAAAAATGACTGAAAAGTCCCAATTTTGCTAAAAATTTTTGAATTTTATTGGTCAAGAAGAGCTCCGAACAGGTTTTATGATGTATGAAACTTCCAGGCACACTCAGAAGCCGAAATATGGCTTTTTTGAAATTTTCGATTTTTTGAGGAAAATTGTTGACGGGGGGGTCCTTGAGTTGTTTAATTGTGTTAAAAATAATAAAGCTGAGCTGAGCTAAGCAAAGTGAAGATTGTCTGAGCTGAGCTGTGCAGATCATATCACTTTCAAAAATCCCTGAGCTGAGCTGAGCAGTCACTCAGCTAGCTCAGCTCACTCAGCTCAGCTCAGTAAATTTGCAACTCTGGCTAAAATTAAAATTGTAGTTGCCGACAAGGTGAAATTTTCATTCATTCATTATCTCCTCGGTGACACGGTCACTCTCCAGCCGAATATCGATCAAAATCCAAATCGTGGATGTCAAAATGCCAACAGTCAAAATAACTCCCCACAAATTCGCGATCATCTTGCCGTAGAATTGCCACGCAGCATTGTAGTGTTTCTTTTTCATCTTATAATCTCATAATCGTATTTAACTGAGCATTGATTTTCAAAAACCTTTGATATCTTGATTTTTAACTGGATCTGCCTTCAAACGAATAAGCTTTGGGATTTCATAATTGTCAGTTTTGAAAATTTGGAAAAATCTGGCCAGGTTGTAAGCAAATCTACTCCGACGAGTACAAAAGCTTTTGACGATTTCGTTTCTTCCGTCGTAATACCACAATGTTCGTGCTTAATGAATTTATTGCATAGAATCATGAGAAGGGACTCACTTATGATTAAATGTGCGCATACGCTTCCAATGACACTGATAAGAAATAAATAAAGAATTCGAGGAGCGACTTCAAGATTGTCAAAGACGGGCATCGATCTTTTTAAGGGTATATTTTTGATAGCTTTTGCCAAAAAGCTTATACCTTTATTTTTATATCTTTTATATTTATATCTTTATCTCATTTATATCTTGTCCCTTTCTTGAGCAGAGTTGCAAATTTTGCTTTTTTTTGCTGAGCTGAGCTGAGTTGAGCGAGGCTTTCTTAGCGGCAGAGTAAGAAATGTAGTAACATGTTGCTACTACATACTACCATTACTACCACCAGAATACAGCGCTCAATAATACCCCTACTACATTACTTCATTACTACCTCGGTTTCCAAAAACGGCTACTACATACTACCATTACTACAAAAAATTGTAGTAAGTAGTATGTAGTAACGAGTTTGCTACCATTTACTACCAACAAAATAACTTAAATTGAAAATTTTTGAAGTCAAATTAGATTAGTTGTATATTAATTAACACTTTTAAAAAATGAAAAGAAACATAGATAACGTGAGAAAAAATTAGACGTCTCTCTTGGATAGAATAATGCGAAAAATGGCATATTTCCCAAAAATAAATTTATCTCTAGAACTGCATGTAGTAATGTAGTATTACTACATTACTACATACTTCTGAGAATGCTACTACATACTACCATTACTACCACATGATGTAGTAAAATGTAGTAATTTACTACATTACTACGTTACTACCCTACTACCGCGATTATCATTCCTGACTGACTTAGTCTCAAGTCGTTTGGACATTTTACAATGCAAAATTTGTCCGAACGAGCGGAAATTGCGTGGGCGGCCCTGTTTGTCTAGTCACTCAGACTCTGCTTAGCGGGGACGCTCGATTCGTTTAACAAAATTTTAACAGGCGCGAAGCACATAGGCACTCTTTGGGTGCAGCAAATTTTGAATTTTTGAGGAGATTTGGTATTCGAATACCTATTGGTACACGAACCGAGCGTTTCCCTTTCTTACAGTGGTGTGTGGAGTTGCTGCACCCCTAGACTCCGGGTTAAAGGTGCAGAAACGCAGCACTCACTTTTGCTACTTCTAGAAGAAAACAATAGAAAAAATGCGAGTCAGGGGTGCAGCAACGCAGCACTCGCTAAGGGTGCAGCGATTCCACACATCACTGTAGAAGTCGTCGAGCTGAGCTGAGCTGAGCAGACATTTTCTTGAGGTAGTTAAGCTGAGCAGACCCTTTTAGGAGCAAAACTAAGCTGATTGAGCTGAGCAGAAAAGATCATGTCCAAAAATGATTGAGCTGAGCTGAAATGAGTGATTATTGTTCGAGCTGAGCTGAGCAGACCAGATCATTTTTGAAAATACTTAAGCTGAGCTGAGCTGGGCGACACTCTTACCTGACTTAGCTAGCTCAGCTCACTCAGCACAGCAAATTTGCAACTCTGTTCTAGAGAGAACATCCAGGTAAACAATCATTGAGAGGAGCACTGTAATCTGAAATCCAATACTCTCTCCACCTGACACAGGCATCCACATCCCCACACAAACCAAAACATTTAGGCAGATAATAGGGAAAAGCAACGTCAAACCATATTTCGCTGTTTTCCGATTCAGGGCAAAATCAACTCGAACCAAAGAAAAATTCGCCCCCTGATTATTTTCGACGAAAGAGCTTCCGAATTTGACTCCGACAAGGTTCCATTCATCACTTTCACCATAAAACATAGCAAACAATGTGGAAATATTGGTATCTTTGCGAGGGAATATCGAAAAGCCGTTTTATTGGGAGGTGTCTTTCAATCGACAAAAAATCCCGACAAAAAATTTCATTTTTTCAAGTAAATTTGAATGGCGAACCATTGAGTAGGCTTCACTTCCCAAAAAGCTTCATCTCCACAAGCTGGGATTTACCCATGAAATACAGCCATTTCCGCAAAGCTCTAAGAAAAAAAATTCCTAAATAAAATTTTTTGAACCTCGGAAATGGATTCTTGTCCTTCGTAAAAGGACAAAAGACGTCTATCTTGACTCTTTCACCCCCAAAGGGTATATTATATTCCGTATATTTAGGCTTTCCGCGTAAACAATTGCTGGCTCGCGCCCCTTTTCACCGCGCTGTCAAAAATCTCTTGCTTTTGGGAAATATATGAAAAGTGGCAAATTTATCAAGCAAAGCCTTTCGAATATATTCTCACTTTCAGAATTTTTCTTTGACCACTCCAAAAAAATGCGGCGCTGAGAGGAAGTGCGGTTACGAAAATCTGCCTAGCTCAAATGGCTCATAGGAGAAAGACATAAGTAGTCTCACTGGAAAGGTCGTAGTCTTTTTATCAAAGGCGCATTTTTGGAATTTAGAACTGATAAGTCCTAATTATCAGATTAAGGGTAAAAATCCCGCTGCGCTCGCGCGAAAAGGCGGTAAATCAGCTTGAGATGGCCCAGCGCGACAGGAAATTCTGACATATTTGCTTAGCAAACCAAGCCTGATCAAAATTTTGATATGCGCAGATGTAACTTTAGTAAGAAAAACACTAGTTTTTCTAAAAGGCTATTTTTTTCTTCGTGCGAAGAGCCGTTTGAGCTGGGCAGATTTTTATAACAGCACTTTCTCTCGGCGCTGCAACTTTTTTGAAGTGGTCATAGAAAAATTCTAAAAGTGAGAGTAAATTTGAAAGGCTTTGCTTGACAGACATGCCAACTTTGATTAATTTCCCGAAAGCATGAGATTTTTGACAGCGCCGCGAAGAGGGGCGCGAGCCAGCTTGCAAATAATCTCGATTAAGGATATAGCCTATGAAAGGCAATCCTATCAAGAAATGTACGCAGAACTCGATTCTGGTACTTTTTTAAAAATTTTCATCTGAATTTTCTCTGTAGAGCGTTTTGAAATCTTACGATCGCGATTTCTCGAAATTTTTACATTAAGTCGCTTAAACTAAACCAATGACTGCATTAGCAAAATGCTAAACTAGAATATTGTGGCTGAAAAATTATCAAACTTGGCCAAATTTTTATTCAAGTGTTTTCCTCTTTCTTGCTCCTGTTTTTCTTTCATGCTCGCTTTTTTAGGTCCAACCAATCAGCGCGCATGAATAGTGTAAAAGGCGCTGCGTTGGGTGCTCAATCTCTCGACTCCTCTTTCCCGAGAGAGTGCGCGCGTTTGAACGAGCGCTCTGATTGGTTGGACCCAAAAAAGCGCGCATGGAAGAAAAACAGTAGCAAGAAAGAGGAAAGCACTAGAATGAAAATTTAGCCGAATTTGATAATTTTTCAGCCACAATATTCTAGTTTAGCATTTTAATATTGCAGTGATAGGTTTTGTTTTAGCGAAAAATTTCGAGAAATCGCGATCGTAAGATTTCAAAACGCTCTACAGAGAAACATTCAAATAAAAGTTTTTAAAAAAGTACCAGAATCGAGTTCTGCGTACATTTTCAGGTAGGATTGCTTTTGAAAAAATTGATCCGACGTCGCATTTAGGCGCTATGAAAGTTCAATTTCATAGGCTATATCCTTAACGAACCACCCGCACCGAGCTCGCGCCGCTTTTCAAAAGCGCAGAAGTTTTATAAATTTATCAGATCAAGTGTAGTTTTCCTCCTCTTTCATCTCCTATTCGATTTTTTATATCATGATTTTTGAATTCGGGGAGAGAAAAAGTGAAGCTCAACTTCAAAGGCATTAGCTCCTAAACTACTTGTCAGTTTAAGTTATAAATACCATCATCGAAAATCGCATTCAATTTTGACTAGGTCTACGTTCGCGTGGTCTTCAAATTTTGTTTGTATACGATCGTAATCGGGGATTTATCAAAGAACACCCTTCGCGCGGCCGGGAATTTGCAATATTGAGTGACTGTACTAATCCCCTGATTTTGACCGGATATAAGCGAAATTCGAAGACCACGCGAACGTAGACCTGGTCAAAATTTAATGCGCTTTTCGATGAGGGTATTTATAACTTCAACTAAGAAGTAGTTAAGGAGCTGATGCCTTTTGAAGTTGAGCCTCACTTTTTCTTTCTCCTGAATTCAAAAATCATGATATAAAAAAAGGGATTTGGAGATGAAAGAGGAGGAAAAACTACACTTGATCTGATAAATTTATAAAAAATTGAGGAAGATAAGGGATACTTCTGCGCTTATGAAAGCTCGGTGCGGGTGGTCCCTTAACCGGACTTCCGGTGTACTTTCGACATATATAGCTATCTCATATAAATTTCCATTGCCAAGAAAATATTTATTCGTGATTCCGAATAAGCATCTCAAGAGCTACAAGAAAATGTGATAAACATTATAATTGATAAGGGTTAGCCCAGCTTTTGGTTTTGCGGGGAAAACCTAGGTAAATTTTGATTGAAAAACAGCTTATCTGGGCTAATACAGACACGATCTGCGACTTGATTAAGATAAAATAAAGTTTTATCTTTTTTCTTTAGTACAGGGAATTAATTTAATATAACGGCAAAATAATAACTTCCCTTTGTACTCAATCTTATCATCAGGAATGTTTGTTATATTGTTCGCTTCTTTCCACTTATCTATTTTAAGGATTCTGTCAGAAAGCTCAAAACAAGTAATTAATGTATATTGTCGACTTTTAGGCGATATAAACTTTTTGAGCCTTGACTTTTTTCCGTTGGCAAATCAGGGAATGCAAGATCAATATAGCATTGTTGTAAGTCAAAAGGGTAAAGATAAGGATTCATGCTGCATCGAGTAATGACATCAATTCGTGTCACAGTTTTAATAATGCCCCTGATAATAAATTACTCTCTCCATCGTTATTGCAAACCTGAAGTCCACAGATGACGCATGAATATAACCCCTGTAACCTCCAATTATATTGATGATTTCTGGAATAATATCATAAATGTATTTTCTGGAAATTGATACACTTGTAATATTATTATGATCCTCCGGGTTCCAAACAAAACGAGAGTCTGAAATTTTTTAAAGAATGCACGATTTAATCATATTTTATGACTCATATATAATCTGAAGGAAGAATTCTCATTGATAAATATCTCTGTTCACTCTGAGTGAAAAGCAAATTTCGAACCCTGAGT